TTTTCTCACCTATATAGAGAGTTCCCTAACCCCCATAAACTAGCCAGGCTTTCCTGCAAATCTGTACTAAATTTGTAGGATGGAGCTAGACAGCCTCCATTTTACAGATGGGGAAACTAAGGTCAGGGAGGGGAATCGATTGTCCAAGGCAACACCAAGTGTTAGAGCTGGGGCTATGGCACGAGTGTGCTGTCTCGCAGCTGAGTGCGCCTTCCCCAATACCAGTGGTTCTCACATGTGTGCGTCAGAATCACCCGGACGGCTTGTTAAGCACGGATCGCTGGGCCCCAAACCCAGAGTTTCTGACTTGGTCAGTCTGGAGTAGAGCCTAGAATTTACATTTCTAACAAGTTTCCCCCTGGGTGATACTGATGCTGCTGGTCTGGGGACCACACTCTGAGAACCACTGCTCTAGACCCTTGCTATCTAAAGTGTGTTCCACAGACTAGCAGCATCAGTGTTACATGGAAGCTTCTAGAACTGCAGAATCTCAGCTCCTATCCCAGACCTACTGAATTAGAATATACAGTTCTAAGATCCGCAGGTGATTTGTTTGCACATTGCCAGGGGACAATGGGGGAACCAGCCCCTTTTCTACGTTTCCCAAGCTTGAGGAATGGGGGCGAGAACTGCAGAGGCGAGAGGGTCTGCTCTGCTCTGGTCCACACCACGCTGGGAGGCTCTGCAGCGCCCACCCTGGAGAATCCCGGGAATGCCGGAGTCCAGCAACAATCATTCAAGCCTCTACATCAACCCTTGGTTTCTAGCCAGCCCCTGCATTTGAAATTTTATTTTAAAAGCATATATGTAATATGTGTGTGTTTATTTTATTTAAAAATATATGTAATACATGAGTATGACATCCAAACCACATAGAAGCATGCCCATCAAGTGACAAGCATCATCAGGCTGTCCATCCACATCCCGGAGATTCCATAGGTAACATATTGATGAATCCTTCCAGATAACCTGTACAACAGAGATGGACTTTTATTCATGCGGGTCATGCTATTTACCACATTACACTGCCTATACCGAAACAGATCCCCACAAAACATCACATTTCAGACTTCCCTCTCTATTAAGACCTGTAGATCTGTTTCATTATTTTCAATGGCTCCGCTGCATGAATATTTATGTACTGAACATTTAATTAGATTTTTAAGGGAAGCAATGCATGCACAGGATTAAAAAATCAAACGGTACAGAATGGTGAATAACGAAAAAATAAAAGTCTCTTACTTCCCCATTCTTCCCAGAGGAACCACGTTAATCACTTATTTTTGGTTTTAATTAATATACTTAATTTTTGCAACAGCTTTAGATTTATAGGAAAGTTCAGCAGATAGTACAGAGTTCCTGTATACCTCCCCCGTCCCCATATTTTTCCCCGTTATTAACATTTTGTATTAATATGGTAATTTTTTTGCAATTAATGAGCCAATATTGATACACATATTATTAACTAAAGTCCATAGTTTGCATTAAGCTCACTCTTGATGATGTACAGTTCCGTGGGCTTTGACGAATGTATAATGTCATGCATCTGCCTCTACAGTATCATACAGGACAGTCTTACTGCCCTAACACTCTGCTGCAACTACCCAGTGGTTCCCATTGTTTTAAATAATATACTTAGACCTCTTTTTATTAGTTCATTAACTCTAGGTTGCATTTATTGACTCCCGATAATGACAGAAGGGGACACTATTGCATTATCCTTTCCACCTCCCAATTCTTGTCAGGTACGTGGCCATTTCATTCATTCATTCAACAATTGCTTACGGAGGGCCCACTGTGAACTGGGCAACAGTCTGGCTGCTGGAGCCACAGGGGCGAAGAAAACAGTTAACACTCCCCGCTGGCATGGAGCCTACATTCTAGCAGAGGAGATAAACCATAAATAAGAGCGATATGGAGTCGTGGATGCTAACACACGCTATAGAGAAAGCCAAGCAGGAGGGGATATGGTGTGTGTGTGTGTCTGAGTCCGTGGGGAGGGGATCGTGGCTGTGAACAGGATGTTGGGGGAAGACGTCGCTGAGAAGGTAATATCTGAACAAAGAGCTGAGCGAGGTGAAGAAATGAACCACAGGGTGATCCTGGGGAGAATGTTCTAGACAGTGAGAAGAGAAAGTGCACAGCCCCTGAGGAAGGAGGTTTGTCGGATGGGCCTGGCAGGCAGCGTCGCTGACTTTGGCTTTACTCAGAGCGAGATGAGAAGGCTCTGGTGGATTTGGAGCAAAGGAGTGACATCATCTTCAGTTTTAAAATTTCTGCGGTGTTAATATACATTCTATTTTGTTAATAAAATTATCATCAATGCTTTAGATTGAGTCTAACAATTTATGACCACTAAACAGAGTTCATGGGACTGAGCGAGTATTGTAGGAAACAGAAGCTATGTTACTTTTGCATCTCTCTGGGTCCCATTCTTGCCTCTGGCCCACCTTATTCCCATCTTTCTTTCCACCTTGTCCTGGGTAGCCCCTAGAATGGGTCCTCCTCCCCCCGGTGGGCTCCCTGCTCCCGGTCCAATGTGAGGTGGCTCAGACCGAGCTGGAGCCATGTCCAGCATACTACTTCCTGGGGCTGTTTTGTAATCTGGCCTGTTCCAGCTGGACTCAGATCGACTGACCGTGCAGATCAGCTGCCCTTTGGGGCGGGCAGAGGAGCAGCCAGCTCTGGGCTGCTACCAGGGGGACATTCTGTCCATCAATGGAGTCAACAAGTCATTAAGAGTTGAGTGAGTATCTGTGGGGCCCCACATTGCCTCGGCGAGTGCCCCGGAAGGCTGAGTGAGAGCTTCTGTTCCCTGGGGAGGTGCGGGGACACCCTACCAGGGAGGGAGCACCAGCGCCAGCCCCCTCTGCACCCTGCTCCCCCCGGCTCTTGAATGCTTCTTTATTCTTCTCATGGCCCAAATAATCCAACCTGGGCCTGAGCCTCTCCCAGATGGGGCTACCAGGAAAGATGCCAATTCCGGGGAAAGATTCGGAATGAGTCATCTCCCCTAGTCCCAGGTCATGAGACTGGAAGACAGGACTCCAGGTTTCCAGGACCTACCCAGGCCACTAGGAAGGAGTGGTGTTGGGAACTGGGTGTTTAATTGGTGAAGACCCTTCCGGCAGTAGAGCATGCCCTGCTGAATTCCCTCCTACGGCCCCCTCTTCGCCTACGCACTCTTGCCATCCATAGTTCATTCCTTTTTTGCCCTTCTCCTGTGTCTAAAAGCCTGGCATGCCTCCACTCAGTGAGCCGAAGAGAAAAAAGTGGGTGGCTGGGTCATTTCTAAAGGGAACTGTTTATATCCAGATGCTTTCGTAGAGGCATTGTTGATATCATCAAAAGATCCTGGGCCCTGTTAGCTACCACACATTCTCATCCTGGCTTTGCCATTTACAAAGCTGTGTGACCTCATTTTGGTTGCTTGACCTCTCTGAGTCTTGTTTTTCTCAATAATACCTATCTGTCATAAGAATCTGAAACGTGAGAGGGCCGTGAAAACTTCAAAAGTGCATACAATTGTGAATTAACCTGGAAGTGGAGAGAGCATGAGCGAGTCCCAGGCCCAGTGGGGGCAGCGGGGAACTGATTAAACAGAGTTAGGGGCAGAGCCTGGTCTAGAGCCTGGTTTCCTCAGGGAGAGAAGTTTGGATCATGGCAGGACTGGCCAGGTTGGTGCCCTCCGGACACTCCTATGGAGGGGTGGGGAAGAGGAGCCACGGGAGGGCATGACTGGCAGACAGGCTGAGACCTTGGAGGTGCCTCAGGCAGGGCAGTGGCCACCTCCAGCTGCCTCTACCGCTGCCCCCTGGGGCTCAGGACACACCTGTCTTGTTTGTCTTTCTTCTCTTATGGCACTGTCTACCGCTCTCCTGGAGGGGCGTTCCGGGAGTTAAGAGCTGTCCGGTGAGTGTGCATATGGACTATGGATGGGAACTGACAGCTCCGGTCCCTGTCCCCTGACTCGCGGGCTGGTGCAGGGGAGGAAGGCACCCTTCCCCACAACTGGGCCATCCCTGTGGCCGTTAGGTTATGCTCATCGGGCAGGAGGCAGGAAACACAAAGCATCCGTACAGAGAGGTCTTATTACTGTCATTATTACGTATCATTATTCCCATAATAATCTATTATTAACATGTGGATGAATAGGCCTTTAAGAACAATAGGCTTGGAGGAGCTGACCAAAATGGGGCAGAATGGGACCTAGGAGAGCCATCTTCCAGTGTCTGGCCTAGTGTCAGGGTCCCTATCCTTCTCTAAAGAGAATAAAACTGGGGAAAGGGAAGGAATAACGCCCCCCCAGCCCCCGCAAGCAGTGCCATCCAGGAGATGCGCCCTCCCTTTCCTCCCCCTCTGCTCCCCCTTGGTCCAAGGCCTGGGGGAGCTGTGCTTCGGGGAGGCGGCGGCCGGC